GAGGTGGACAGTAGGAGATGCTGGTCCCGGACGGTCAGGGTCAGGAGGGGAGGGATCTCAGTGTAGTAAGCGGGAGCAGGCAGTGCCTGTGTGCCATGCCTTTCTCGGGCATCTTAAGAGGCCCTAAGTGCTTTTGTTCTGTCTTATACTGGGCTGCACCTGGAAGCCCGCAATCCCCAGGAGGACACTGCTGTACAGACTATTTCTTAGCCTGGATGGGTAATTGAGCAGTGAGGTAATGGTGGCCATGCTGGGTAGGTGTATGTTGCTAGTGTTTGGTTAACATCTGGCCTTAAAGGTTCCCTACCCAGGGGCCAGGAGGGTGTTCCCATTACCGGGGTGAGTGCTGCAGCTGCATGCCCACCCCTGCACTGTAATTTTCCTCAGTCCATGTGCTCATCCTTTCTCACGCTGCAGGGTGAGCATCCAACATACAGTGGTGTACCACCGCCCCGTGAACAGTGGTATGCATACCACATCTAGCATATCATGTTACATGTACGTCTTGCATAGCAGTTCAATAAAGTGCGCCCATTGGGCGCGATGGTAGCCGCGCCGCACATCCGCCTGTTGACCGTCGCGCCCATTGGGCGCGATGGTAGCCGCGCCGCACATCTGCCTGTTGACTGTCGCGCCCATTGGGCGCGATGGTAGCCGCGCTGCACATCCGCCTGTTCACCGTCGCGCCCATTGGGCGCGATGGTAGCCGCGCTGCACATCTGCCTGTTGACCGTCGCGCCCATTGGGCACGATGGTAGCCGCGCCGCACATCTGCCTGTTGACCGTCGCGCCCATTGGGCGCGATGGTAGCCGCACCGCACATCCGCCTGTTTACCGTCGCGCCCATTGGGCGTGATGGTAGCCGCGCCGCACATCTGCCTGTTGACCGTCGCGCCCATTGGGCGCGATGGTAGCCGCGCTGCACATCCGCCTGTTGACCGTCGCGCCCATTGGGCGCGATGGTAGCCGCGCCGCACATCTGCCTGTTGACCGTCGCGCCCATTGGGCGCGATGGTAGCCGCGCTCACACGTCCGCCTGTTGACCGTCGCGCCCATTGGGCGCGATGGTAGCCGCGCCGCACATCTGCCTGTTGACCGTCGCGCCCATTGGGCGCGATGGTAGCCGCGCCGCACATCCGCCTGTTGACCGTCGCGCCCATTGGGCGCGATGGTAGCCGCGCCGCACATCCGCCTGTTGACCGTCGCGCCCATTGGGCGCGATGGTAGCCGCGCCGCACATCCGCCTGTTGACCGTCGCGCCCATTGGGCGCGATGGTAGCCGCGCCGCACATCTGCCTGTTGACCGTCGCGCCCATTGGGCGCGATGGTAGCCGCGCCGCACATCCGCCTGTTCACCGTCGCGCCCATTGGGCGCGATGGTAGCCGCGCCGCACATCCGCCTGTTTACCGTCGCGCCCATTGGGCGCGATGGTAGCCGCGCCGCACATCCGCCTGTTCACCGTCGCGCCCATTGGGCGCGATGGTAGCCGCGCCGCACATCCGCCTGTTCACCGTCGCGCCCATTGGGCGCGATGGTAGCCGCCGCACATCCGCCTGTTGACCGTCGCGCCCATTGGGCGCGATGGTAGCCGCCTCGCACATCCGCCTGTTGACCGTCGCGCCCATTGGGCGCGATGGTAGCCGCGCCGCACATCTGCCTGTTCACCGTCGCGCCCATTGGGCGCGATGGTAGCCGCGCTGCACATCCGCCTGTTCACCGTCGCGCCCATTGGGCGCGATGGTAGCCGCGCCGCACATCCGCCTGTTGACCGTCGCGCCCATTGGGCGCGATGGTAGCCGCGCCGCACATCCGCCTGTTCACCGTCGCGCCCATTGGGCGCGATGGTAGCCGCGCCGCACATCCGCCTGTTTACCGTCGCGCCCATTGGGCGCGATGGTAGCCGCGCCGCACATCCGCCTGTTGACCGTCGCGCCCATTGGGCGCGATGGTAGCCGCGCTGCACATCCGCCTGTTGACCGTCGCGCCCATTGGGCGCGATGGTAGCCGCGCTGCACATCCGCCTGTTCACCGTCGCGCCCATTGGGCGCGATGGTAGCCGCCTCACACATCCGCCTGTTCACCGTCGCGCCCATTGGGCGCGATGGTAGCCGCCCGCACATCCGCCTGTTCACCGTCGCGCCCATTGGGCGCGATGGTAGCCGCGCCGCACATCCGCCTGTTCACCGTCGCGCCCATTGGGCGCGATGGTAGCCGCGCTGCACATCCGCCTGTTGACCGTCGCGCCCATTGGGCGCGATGGTAGCCGCGCCACACGTCCGCCTGTTCACCGTCGCGCCCATTGGGCGCGATGGTAGCCGCGCTGCACATCCGCCTGTTGACCATCACGCCCATTGGGCGCGATGGTAGCCGTGCCGCACATCTGCCTGTTCACCGTCGCGCCCATTGGGCGCGATGGTAGCCGCCTCACACGTCCGCCTGTTGAACGTTGCGCCCATTGGGCGCGATGGTAGCCGCGCCGCACATCTGCCTGTTCACCGTCGCGCCCATTGGGCGCAATGGTAGCCGCCTCACACGTCCGCCTGTTCACCGTCGCGCCCATTGGGCGCGATGGTAGCCGCGCTGCACATCCGCCTGTTCACCGTCGCGCCCATTGGGCGCGATGGTAGCCGCCTCACACATCCGCCTGTTCACCGTCGCGCCCATTGGGCGCGATGGTAGCCGTGCTGCACATCCGCCTGTTGACCGTCACGCCCATTGGGCGCGATGGTAGCCGCGCTGCACATCCGCCTGTTCACCGTCGCGCCCATTGGGCGCGATGGTAGCCGCGCTGCACATCCGCCTGTTGACCATCGCGCCCATTGGGCGCGATGGTAGCCGCGCCGCACATCCGCCTGTTCACCGTCGCGCCCATTGGGCGCGATGGTAGCCGCGCTGCACATCCGCCTGTTGACCGTCGCGCCCATTGGGCGCGATGGTAGCCGCGCCGCACATCTGTAACACAGTCGCGGCGTTGGGCGGGATGCTCAGATTGGCATTTGCGTCTGTTACATTGCGCGCCCACTTAGGCGCGATGGACGTCCTCGGCCATTATTTCGAGCACAGGAGCCATCCCACCTCGCGCCAGTGCGCTGGTTTATCCATTACACCATGAAATCGCCAATTTGCGACTTGCTGGTTGCCAGAATCGAACCGCCGACCCGAAGTTTATTTCGGAATTCGTGCGGTCCCGTCTCGATACCATTGTAACACAGCAAAGGCGTAACCCGGGATGCTCAGATTGGCATTTGCGTCGTTACAACATCCGCCTGTTTACCGTCGCGCCCATTGGGCGTGATGGTAGCCGGCTCACACATCCGCCTGTTCACCGTCGCGCCCATTGGGCGCGATGGTAGCCGCGCTGCACATCCGCCTGTTGACCATCACGCCCATTGGGCGCGATGGTAGCCGCGCCGCACATCTGCCTGTTCACCGTCGCGCCCATTGGGCGCGATGGTAGCCGCGCTCACATCCGCCTGTTCACCGTCGCGCCCATTGGGCGCGATGGTAGCCGGCCTCACATCCGCCTGTTGACCGTCGCGCCCATTGGGCGCGATGGTAGCCGCGCGCACATCCGCCTGTTCACCGTCGCGCCCATTGGGCGCGATGGTAGCCGCCTGCACATCCGCCTGTTCACCGTCGCGCCCATTGGGCGCGATGGTAGCCGCGCTGCACATCCGCCTGTTCACCGTCGCGCCCATTGGGCGCGATGGTAGCCGCCTCACACATCCGCCTGTTGACCGTCGCGCCCATTGGGCGCGATGGTAGCCGTGCCGCACATCCGCCTGTTCACCGTCGCGCCCATTGGGCGCGATGGTAGCCGCGCTCACACGTCCGCCTGTTCACCGTCGCGCCCATTGGGCGCGATGGTAGCCGCGCTGCACATCCGCCTGTTCACCGTCGCGCCCATTGGGCGCGATGGTAGCCGCCTCACACATCCGCCTGTTGACCATCGCGCCCATTGGGCGCGATGGTAGCCGCGCCGCACATCCGCCTGTTCACCGTCGCGCCCATTGGGCGCGATGGTAGCCGCACCGCACATCCGCCTGTTCACCGTCGCGCCCATTGGGCGCGATGGTAGCCGCGCCGCACATCCGCCTGTTCACCGTCACGCCCATTGGGCGCGATGGTAGCCGCGCCGCACATCTGCCTGTTCACCGTCGCGCCCATTGGGCGCGATGGTAGCCGCGCTGCACATCCGCCTGTTGACCGTCGCGCCCATTGGGCGCGATGGTAGCCGCGCCGCACATCTGTAACACAGTCGCGGCGTTGGGCGGGATGCTCCGATTGGCATTTGCGTCTGTTACATTGCGCCCCACTTGCGCGATGGACGTCCTCGGCCATTATTTCGAGCACAGGAGCCATCCCACCTCGCGCCAGTGCGCTGGTTTATCCATTACACCATGAAATCGCCAATTTGCGACTTGCTGGTTGCCAGAATCGAACCGCCGACCCGAAGTTTATTTCGGAATTCGTGCGGTCCCGTCTCGATACCATTGTAACACAGCAAAGGCGTAACCCGGGATGCTCAGATTGGCATTTGCGTCGTTACAACATCCGCCTGTTTACCGTCGCGCCCATTGGGCGTGATGGTAG